CCCATAATTGTAAGAATTAAGTTACAGATTAATCTCAAGACTCCTTTAGGAGTTCCCTCATACACACAAAGCTTCAAAGTGACCACTACCATGACCCTCCTGGAGTGACAATAATGAACAACACCACCATCTTGAACCTACTGAGCAGGTGCAAGGACCAAAGCCCTAACTGAGCATGTGCCCATGAAGAACAGAAGGGACAGTTCGGATCCCACATACAGACCGGCGGCTCACTGGCTGAGCGAGGTGCAGGCACAACACCGAGGGTTGCGATCCCGTTGCCGGTCCCGGTCCAGTACGGGCGCGACACTGAGGGTTGCGATCTGTTGCCGGTCACCAAAAAAAAAAGACAAAAAGGAAAAAAAAAAAGCTCGGGGCCGCTTTGGTCCGAAAGGCTAAGCGACCCCAGCATGCTGGAAAATAAAATTCCTCTTGCTTGATTGCAACAGTCTCAGTCTCGTGGTCTTTGTGAAGTGAGCCACTCCGGCGTGTAGGATTTGTGCTTGGTGCCCAGGTCTTACAGAACATGCCCCAAAAAGAGACCAACTGAACATGTGCAAAACTATGTTACACAACTGGAAATCACCTTCTTAATTGAATATGTATTAGATGGAGAAACTATAAAAGCAGAATCCCAGCAGAAGGTGGGGGTTTGCTGCTCACTTTCCTGGGGCCAATCCACATTTCGCTGGCTGAGGTATGTATGCTTTACTTTTGTGTTAAACTTACTTTCAGCAGGTGGCTGCTCACTCTCTTGAGCCAGCCTGCACTCTTACTTTTGTACTAAACTTGGTGTGGGTCCTGCCCAGTCTCTGGAGCTAGGCTACACTCTCTCTGTGGAACCTGTATTTCTTATCTGTTATATTAAATCTGTTCTCACTTTCTACTGTGACTCTGCTCTTGGATTTTTTCCTGTGGTGGAGTCAAGAACCTGGTAAGAGGACCAGGTGGGTTGAGGCTGAGTATTGGGGCCTCTCAGACCCTTCCTCCATGCCACCAGTTCCATGCCACCAAGCTGAAACTAAACTGTTTATCTGACCTTCTTAGAAATCAGGAGAGAGAGAGATAATAGCCAAATTGCCAAACAGGCCAGTTTTAGCTGGCATGTTAAGGAAGTCCTCTCTGCTTTAATCTTTACAAGGACCAATCTGATTCTTGTTCTCTGTTTTTGCTTTCTTCAGCCTTTTTCTGTTTATAAAGTGTACAGACAGGGAACTTTCCCTCTGTTCTCTGAAGGTTTGATAATTTGAGTCAACTAAATAAACTTGACAGTAGACAGATTAACAGGACGAAAAGCATACAAATGTATTATGTGCTGTAATGGATTGACTTATGTCACCCCAAAACTCACTGAAGCTTAAATTGTGTCCCCCAAATTGTGTATTGGAAACTTAGCCCCCACTGGGACTGTTAAGAGGATGGGAAATCCTATTATGGTAATTAAAAGGTGCAGCCTTGAAGAGGTGATTAGATTGTAGGATCATGCCTTACAGAATGGATCAAAAACGATGGTCAAGGGCATGGTTCTGAGGGCTTTGAAAAGAGTGAATGAGAAGTGCTCTCTCTTTGCTCTCTCTGCTTCCACCATCTTGCAGTGTGAGACCCCTGGGTCACTGTCAGCACCGCCAGATTGGACTTTGGACTTCCCAGACTCAGAAACTAAGCAATAAATTTTGTTTTCTTTATAAATCACCCACTTTCAGGTATTTTGTTATAAGTGACAGAAATGGACTAATACATGTGCATACATGGGAAGATGTCCCACAAATATGAGACTTAAAGAAGGACCAGATGGTGGAAGCTTAAATCCTATTTTGAGCTACAGAAGGAAATAGGGGCTTGGAGGCTGTTGGAGGACGGTGGTGACAAGCTATGGGAGGGTGAGGAACTCCACTGCAAACTCGGGTTGTCTTATAAAAATAAACTCTCTCAGGTAGCAGCCCTCAGAAGAACAGGCGAAAAGTCTGTCTGGGTGTGGTGACCTTGGCATAAAGACCTCTAGTTTCCTCTCCTCTGGTTAATGTAGATTCCAGGGAGAGGATTCTTGACAATCACATTTCTTTTGGAAGAACTTCCCTTAGTCAGATAAGGGAACTTCAGAGAAAGCCCTTTCCTGCACATAGGGAAAGAGGGCTGAGAGACAGGGGGCTGGAGAAGGTCAGAGAGACCTTGGTTCTGCCTTAGTTCACGGCATTAAAAATAATTATTTTTATCATTAATAACTATTATTTTTAAATACTGTATTGTTATGGACAGAAAGGTGTGATGTCTGAGATTTGCTTCAAAATAGTCCAGTGGGAGCAAGTGTGTGGGAGTAGAGATAAAACCAGATTGGCCAGGAGTTAACTTGTCCGAGCTGAGTGGTCATTACACTGGTCTACTTTTAGGAGCATTTGAAAATCTCAATAGTAAAAAATTTATTGAAAATGTATGTACTGAGAAGAAATTAGGCCAACGAAATAGTCGATGAACCCTCTCTGAATTAAGGGTTTCCCTTTCCTCTCCACCCAGCCCAGCTGGCTTATGCCCCGTTATCCTCCCCTGTTCTATTTTTCCATAGCATTAATCAGTTTCTAACATACAATATACTTATTATGTCTACTGCTTATCATGGCTGATGCACATTACAGGCTGGTTTAATGCTTATTCGAAATAAAACTTTCTTTTTTACAGTTGTGGAGAGGATTTTGGGAGGTTGGCAGGAGTTTTTAATCATTTCCCCAACACCATATAATTTGCTTATGATATCTACTGTTCATCATGTCTCCTCCTCCAAAAGGTAAGTTCCATGTGGGCAAGAATCCATGTCTGGTTTTGCTTATTCACATTTAAAATTACGTATGGCTGGCATTATATTTTTGTTGGACAGCGGTGATACAAAGGGTAACATCAGGAATTCTGGAGGTACCCTGGCTGGGTTCACATCTCAGTGTGTGACCATGGGCAGGTCACTTGACCTCTGCAGGCCTCAGTTTTCTTTTCTCGCCTGTGAAGTGGGTATGTAGTAGTGCTGACTTGATGGGCTTCACTATCCATAAAGGTTGGCTGGTGTTACTATCGGTTAAAGCACTCATTTTTGGCAGCTAGAGCCCGATTTCTCCTGTGAGGTGAGGATAACCATGCCGGCCTTCAAGGTGATGGGAATTTCTTTTTTTTTTTTTTTTTTTTGACCGGTAAGGGGATCACACTTTTTTTTTTTGACCGGTAAGGGGATCACACCCCCTCGGTGGCACGGTGTGGTCTGCACCACGCTCAGCCAGTGAGCGCACCGGCCATCCCTATATGGGGTCCGAACCCGCGGCCTCGGCGCTCCCAGCGCCGCACTCTCCCGGATGAGCCACGGGGCCGGCCCAAGGTGATGGGAATTTTTAAACGAGTGAACGGGTATCAGGCCTCCCGCCTGGATGCCTGACAAAAATAACAGCAGCTGCTGGGCGCCAGGCGTCTCACTGCCGAATTGGGGACACCCCAAGGGGCCGGCTGGTGCGGACCGCCGGTGGCAGACCCTGAATCCCGGCAGCGCCCGCCCG